TATTTATATATATATAATATATAACATATGCTATATATCCTGAATATATATATACACACATATATATGTATGTATATACATATATATGTATGTATATATGTATGTATACACACACACACATATATGGTAGGTTGCTTCATCGAATCTTCCAAACTCTGCTAAGTACAATGAAAAAGTTAAGGGGAAAAATTCTTGTAGTAGGTCTTCTAAATTTAAAACAAGAAAGAAAAAATATTTTAACTGTATCTTTAAGCCTTGTTTTTTCCTTCAATCTTAAATTTAGGGCTGTACGAGGGGGGAGCAAAGATAATTTTAGCTCACGAGTGTAACTATTTTTAGGCACAAAACGTTGAATACGTAGTAAAAACATTTAAGAAAACGGGTCAAATGCTAAGCAGACTGGTACCTCTTTGTTCATGATCAGAAAACCATTAGGCAGATATGAACAAGAGTTTCAAAAATGTCAGTAAATCTGAGCGTATCAAAGACTTCCGAGCCCGAGAGTTAATTGGTATTTGGAACCTTTTGAACAGCTAAACAACGAAATGGATGAGCTAGCAGCCTCCCCTGATGTTATTCAGCAAATAGGCGCTCTTATCTTCCCACTTGGGAATGCTATTTTGTCAACTCTTAGCAGGAAATAGGCAGACAAAGCAATCAAAGGCAGGGAGCAGAGGCGAGAGGTTTATCAAACAGAGGTAAATAAAAGGTAATGTTTCCTTAGTGTTGCTCTCCAACTCTTCCTGTTTTCTGATACTCAAGTCTGAAACATGAAAGGTCCCATTTCTTCTGATTCCGGTGAACCCTTCTGGAATAGATACCTTCATCCTTAATCCCCCCCCATCACTCAAATCTCTAGACTCAGCCAAGCCTGTTTCCTTTCTGTGTCCTTTTTAAATTTTCTGACACAGTGCCTTGGGAGAGCTTTGTCTTCTCCTACAGTCAAGGGCCTTTGAGGAGCTCGTCGTGGAGCCAAGTGAGTTAGACGTCTTTATCTTTTCTCAGATAGACACCGAGGGACCACATGGAAGTGCTGGGCAGGTACTGAGGCTTCCCGGAAGCCAGGCAGTTGAGGGCATCACAGAACACCAAGGAGCAACTTCATGTTTTCTGCTCAGTAGGCTCTGAAACAGGTTGCCTAAGAAGGTCTGCCCTGGGTGGACACATTGGCCTACATGTGTTGAGTGCAAACAAACGCCTAAGGAAAGGACCAAGGCTAATAATTTTTTTACTCTAGAAATTTGAGCGATTTAGAAAAGAGACGTGAGTTGTAGTCTCCTTTCAGACATATTAGCTAGGTAACCAAACACAATAAAAGATATTCTCATCTGCCTGACAACAAGGCATGCTATGCAGGGTCCCACACAGGCTTGCTCCCAGTCACAGCCTCTGGGCAGGAGACCTACACACACACACACACACAGACACCTTGGTCATTCATTGCACAAGGAAATGCTTGTTTTCTGTTTTTCCATGGGGCTGGAGTTAATTCCCAGCACGTAAATAGTAGAACAAAACCATCTGTAACTCCAGTCCCAGAGGATCTAACACCCTCTTCCAATCTGCAAGAGTATCAGGCATGCCTATGATGCACAAACATACATGCAAACAAAACACTCATATATAAAAACTAACAACACTAATAGCTGTTAAAAGGATTGGCTTTATCTACTGACACATTCTCATGTTCTGAAGATTCCAGGTTTTCACCAATACTTACTATTGTTGGTCTTTTCGTTTTAGCCATTCTACTGAGTGTGAAGTAGTTTCCCCTAGTAGTCTGACTTTCATTTCTACAGTGTCCAGTGATACAAAGCATCTCTCCATGTGATTGTTGGCTATTTGTGATAAGTTGTTCTCTACCGTTGAAGTGACTCAATTCAAGCCAGATTAGAGTATAGAAAGGCAGGTTTATTGGGAAGCTGCTCTTGGATGGGTAGGTTTACTGGTCCTAAGGAACGAGGCCAGGGAAGTTGCTATGGGAAGGGAGACAAAGGGGAGGGGGAAGAAAAAGGACACATAGAGAAAGAGAAAAGCAGAGACGGGGAGACAGGGTGAGACGAAGATGTCTGTGTTAAATAGGGAAAAGCTTCTCGGAGAGGGCAAGCCCAGCCCCTCAGTCATGCCCTGTAACAGATACTGAGGGATGCTGGGAGAATCTGGGGGCCAGGTCTGCTTTGGTATGGAAAATATGCACCTCAGCTGCTTGTCCTGAGTCTGAATCCCAACATCGCAGGCTTTTGTTGATAACAAATGAATAAGGGGTGACATAATCATCTATGACTACTTCCTGCGGACATTGAAGCAGCGTTATTGGGCGAGGGAGCATTCAAAAAGCTGGAATGTTGGCCAGGTTTGGGAAGAGCAGCAGGCTTCTGTCCAAGCTCTGTAGGACTGTCTGGGGCTAGGCACAAGAAGATCCAGTTGAAGCAGCTTGTGAGGCTATCAGGGAGCATCTATGGGTAGCCACATCAGAGCTCTTCAGATGCAGGGAACACCTGGACTTGGCAGGATGGTGGAACAGATATGTATGTTAGTGGCAGAAGATAAAGTTAAGGAGTTTAGGGAATTTTTTTTCTTGTGTATACATTTGAAACTTTTAAGCCCATGGTCTTAGTAGTTAGAGGGAGTTGGGCATGGAGGGGAGTCCCAGGACCAGGGAAAGGGGAATAGTCAGGTGGGGAGGGAAACACTTATCTGGAGACCATTTGGCCTATGAGAAGTAGATTCATGTGGATTCCCTGAAGCTTGTAGAAAAATTTTAAGTTTACAAAAAGAGATAAATTTTAGATATGTTAGTATTACCACTGTTAAATGTTAGAGCTCTGAACTTTGAAGTCTCAATACAATAGTAGCTCAGTGAGGGGAAGAAATTAGAAACATTTTTCACTCCTTTTACATACTTTAAATCACCTTATCACCGTTTAAGTTTTTCCCATCCTCCAACCTTCATACCTTGCATTTACCAACCTTAAAACAACTTCCTAGACCCTCAAACACTTCTTCTTTCACCAATCAAGTCCACAAACCCCTCAGAGATCTGAGAAGGATAAATTATGATCTAAATAGCCTGTATATTAATTAAAAACGACAGAGACTAGTCCAAAGTCTACTACAGTTGTCCCAGGTTCCTGTTGTCTACATGGCTTCACTGTGGACACAGATCTGGCCCAGAAAATCTGATAGGCCTTCCTGCAGAGGAGGAACTTGGAAGACTGATCTTGAGGCATGCCTGGTATCCTGTTTGTCTACAATTTGGGCAGGGCCCTGGCAGCAGGCAAGACATTGGAGAAGTCTTGCTCAGTGGTTAGCATACCATAGTTCAGGGGAAGTCCTTTGTTGTTGTGCCCATATCTTTCTGGAGACCTTAGGGAAGTCACTGCTAGGATTGGGGAGTCTCTGTCTGCCATGGGAAGTTTAAGCATCTTAAATGGCATAGTCAGCAGGTCTCTGAGGTGCCTGAGGACCATCTATCTGTCTGTCTGTCTATCTATCTATCTATCTATCTATCTATCTATCTATCTATCTACATCTATCTATCGTATATTTGAATAGACAAACTTTGCTTGTTTCTAGTTACCCTTTGTAAGTATAACCTTGAAAATATATACAGGTGGGTAAATAAAGCCTATTCTTATTAGGTTTGAGCCTTAAAAAAAACTAATGATTTTTGAATTGAAGATCTTCTAATATTAAATTAAAAATTTTAATCATAGATACAGTTTCATAGAGACTGGTAACTTTGCTGAACCTACTTATGGCATCATTATAGGCCGTCATAGCTTTCTGTATGGCTTAGTTTATCCAAACAGCTAAAGCTTGAAAGACAGAGAAGTTAGATTTGACTCTCAGCAAGGAACTGAACACCTTTGCCCTCCCCTCACACCCCCCTTAGTTAAGATGGTGGTGAAGCTATGATTTTCCCATAACAAAGATGACTGGTAGTCATGTGGCTGCCCTTAATTAACATGGCAGTGAACCTTATTTTTCCTATAGTCAAGATGGTGGCCACTGGGGTACAGCTAAGCAGCAATGGCAGGCCATTTAAAGTGAGCAGGCTACTCCCTCACCACCACCATTGCCATCACCATCATCACCACCAAGGCCTTGAATGGATGAGAAGGAGGTATGGGGGCAGGGCTAGGCTGTACCTGGATCCATGTATGTGGAGATGCTTAGTTGCTGAAGTTGTGTTTCAGTGAAGGAAGGGAGGGGCAAGAACATGTTTCCAAAAAAAAAAAAAAAATTGGACATAGAGATTTCAGACCAATTTGGATAAATTTTTCAGTTTTAGGTCCAGTGGCACTGATTGTCTCAGGAAGGCTGAATTGTGTAGCATCCTGCAAAAAAGCCTGGGGAGGGGAAGCTTCAGGTCAAATGTCTTTGAACCCAAGGCTCTTCTCCCCCACCCCACTCCCCATACCTCCCTCTTGTCTATGCCTGCAGACAGATGTGATTAACATAGGTATTATGTCAGAAGATATATGATGAACAAATACTTTCATTCGCTGGATCATTTTTAATTTATCCTCCTCTTTCTAATTTCTTCTCTCCTTCTTTTGTCTCCTGCTCTTCCTATTTCTTTTTGAGACAGGGTCTTACTCTGTAGCTCTGGCTGACCTGGAACTTGCCATCTAGACTGTGTTGGTCTTGAACTCACAGAGATCTCACCTGCCTCTGTCCAAGCATTGGGTTAAAGGCATCTGCTACTACACCCAATGTGTTTTCACTTTCTTGATAGGTTCTTCTGGTACATATCATTTTTGATTTGAGTGAAGCCCTGTGTGGTGTTGTTGTTGTTTTGTGTCTCGGTGTCCTAGTTAAACAACCACATAATCAAGGTTACAAAGCTTTACTCCTGTTTCTTTTTCCTAATGGTTATACAATTTGAGCTCTCCTATTTTATACCTGTGATCCACCTTGCAATATTCTCTCTCTCTCTCTCTCTCTCTCTCTCTCTCTCTCTGAGGTATGTCATTGTTTTGGGTGTGGCCATTGGCTTGTTGTTCGCCCCCTGATTTGTCTTTACATTTTTGTTGAGTATAACTGGACCATATCTGTTAGGGTTTCTTTGGGATCCTGAATTCGGGTTTCATTTCACAGGCCTTTTTGAACTCCTGTCCTCCCTTCTACCACAGCATCTTGAATGGACCTTTGCCCATTTCACCCTCTGAGGTGTCAGCATGGGGTTTATCTAAAATAAAGCGTGTTGCTTCCTTCACTACCAGGACCATCCAGACACCACTGGGGAAGTTTTGGCCCCATTGCTTGGTGAAGGGGAACTTTCCTGCTTTCTGCTCTGCTTTTTCAGTTACATCTTTCATCCTTCACTCCTCAGATCAAGCCCCAGTCAAAACTGAAGGAGTCAGGAGTCCTCAAAACACAGCACACTGTTCCATTCTTTGGTGCCTTTGTTCACTTCAGTAGTCCTCAGTCACGTGGGCAAGCTGATTCTTTAGGACTCTGAGCGGCATTGTCTTCTCTGTGGTACTCGATGTAGCATCCCCAGGCTGGGTTAGAAGTCCCCCAGGTGTGCTTTATTGATAGTGCTCACTACATGGATTACCTGCCTCTCCTTTCAACCCTAACTGCCTGGGAGGCACAGCCAGCACCGTATGTGTACTGTGCTGTAGCTCAGGTTAGCAGCTTTAGAAATATTTGTGAAGTTGGAAAAAAAATTCTCACCTCATCTTCATCTCTCTGTTATACCATTCCCGACTGCGCCTCTGGCCTCTGTTCTTTAGAAGCAGATGAAGGATGCATGGAGCCTGGAAGTCGAGCTGTAACTCAACTCAGATTGCAATGTGCATCAAAGACTGACAGAGCGTGTGCTCATGGGATGTCTTAATGCTTTATCAATAAGAGAAAAACAAACAAACAAACAAAAACCACAACCCTTGAATACATTGGTTTTTAAAGGGCTCTGGCCAAGTTTGGAATATTGTCATTTATAGAATGACTGTAGAAAGAGTGATAAATTAATTTGCCTTCCTTTGTTCTGTAACAAAGAGAAGTTTTGGGTTTGGTTTTGAGACAAGGTTTTTCTGTATATTCCTGGCTGTTGGGGCTTGGAGTTTCGTTGCAGTGTGAATACATCTTATGGAAAGCTAAGCTTGTAGGAAGGCTTCTTGCTCACCTGACACATGAGTCATGAATTTCTCAATAATAAGTGACCTAAACTCCAATAAGCTGAAGCAAAAATTAAAAGAGAGGAATATATCACCTTATAAAATCCAGCACAGTGTCTGAATTCGGGGCATTAAGCATTCATATCAAGCCACTGGCCTTGCCCTTTTTGCTTGGTTTTGTCTCTGAGAATTAATTTTTACACGGTAAATAGACTGTAGCAGTGTGGATCACATGCATATCCTTGGACCAGTCTCTAAGACAAGGAAGGGCTTGGGTCAAGTGGCTGGATAAGGCCAACCCCTCTTGAGTCATGGTGTAAGGGACTCCATTAAAGGAAAGACAGGGAAACATAGGCTAAAAGATCAAGTGTGTATTACCCTTTTGTCTTAGGGTCTTCATTCCTGCACAAGACATTATGACCAAGAAGCAAGCTGAGGGAGAAAGGGTTTATTCAGCTTACACTTTCACATTGCTGTTCATTGCCAAAGGAAGTCAGGACAGGAACTCACACAGGGCAGGAACTTGGAGGCAGGAGCTGTTGCAGAGGCCATGAACAGATGTTACTTACTGGCTTGCTTCCCCTGGCTTGCTCAGCTTGCTTTCTATAGAACCCAAGACTACCAGCCCAGGGATGGCACTACCCACAATGAGCCCTCCCACCCTTGATCACTAATTGAGAAAAATGCCTTACAGCTGGATTTTATAGTGGCATTTCCTCAAGGGAGGCTCCTTTCTCTGTGATAACTCCAACTTGTGTCAAGTAGAAACACAAAACCAGCCAGTACACAGTCCTGTACCCCTGAATCACCCTAACTACACAGAAAGCTTACCCTCATCTATTTACCTCTTGGGCCCTTAAGAAGAATTTTCAAGGACAAACTTTTTGTTAACAACACTGGATGCTAACTTGGAAAAAGAATTGCATACCTTTTGTTTTAATTTAATTATTTCACTGTTACCTGTCTGCTTACTTGTTTTGGTTTTATACAATTTCACGGACTCTGAAGAAGATTCCTGAAAGGAGCTTCCTGTCTCACTTCAGCTTGAATCAGTCTTCTATCAATTGACATGAATCTTAGGTCACCTCAGTATATTTCATGATATATCTGATGCATGGGATTCCACGGGGAAATCTCACTTTCCTTCCTTGGGATCTCATCAGTATTTGCAGTCTGTGCATGGTTTACTTTGTTCATTTCTTACTGCAAAAGCCACTCTAGAAGATTCTCCTGACAAAAACTTCTTTTTGTCCCTTTTGGCCTGGATTTTCTTTCTTCCTACATAAATAGTCTTTGAGCTATTGGCCAGCTACCTCTGGGCTCTTCTGGTTTCACCTGCTGCCTTTTCCCTATTGACAACATTAGAAGTTTCTTGTTCCTTGCGACAGTGAGTGTTGTGTCCTTAGTGGGGTCTGAGCTGACCCAAATTTGACTGTCAGCAGAATTACTACTCTCTAGCTCATCCCTGATTCTAACCCTTTGTAAAGCATTTTAAACATGGTGTTTTATGGCCAGTGACCAAAATAAGTACAGATTCCTTAATATTTATTCAATAAACAAGATGATATTGGCCCTGGTAAGATTCCAGTTAGCTGGTCTTCTCCCCAGGTCAGCTTTCAGGGTTCTGGAGACCAGTGCAAGAAGACAGCAGGGAGTCTCACATCTCAGGTGTGCAAGCATTCAATTATTCTTCAAATACTACTCAGTTTTGAATGATTAAATCCAAAATCTATCATAAAAAAATCTCCCTCAAGATCTAGAGAAGAAAATCTGGGACTACGGCTACTTCTTCATTAACTTTCTTATTTTTTAATTTAATTTAATGTTTATGGGTGTTAGGCCTGCACACGTGTCTGAGTACTACACACGTGTCTGGTGCCCATGGAGGCCAGAAGAGGGCATCAGATTCCCAGGAACTGGTTTGAGACTGTTGGAGCTATCACGTGGGTGCTGGGAATCGAACTCAGGTCCTCTAGGAGAGCAGCCAGTGCTCTGAACCACTGAGCCATCTCTCTAGCCCCTCTTCATTAAGTTTAAAGATACCCTCCTGTTTAGATCCTCCTCCTCCTGCCATGCTTCTTGGGTATCTCATACAGTTTCTGTGTGCTTGCAGAGAGGGTGGAGAGCTGAACTCCACAGTTAATCGGTTGTTTCTAATGTTTTCCCTGTTCATGTGCTCATGGTCTATGTCCTCTCATGGTGGCGTTCTCCATGCCCACCCCCAACCCATGTCCTTCCCTCTTTCCTCCTCTCTACCTCCCTGCAGTCCCCTCACTCGATCTTCAAGCCCCACCTTTCTCCCTCTGCTGCCCAATCACAGGCTCTAGCCTTTTATTGATCAGTTAAATTAAAGAGCAAGATTTACATAACATCATTTGGTGTGCATGAATAGCTGCTTATCTGGGGCAACTAGATCTTGAGAACCAGTATTTAACATTAGAATACAAGTAGCATCAGACTGCAACATGTGGGCCCCAGTTGATTGCCCTGGTTTAGAAGGTTTAGGAGGCACTGGGGTGAAATTTGAAAGCTTTAAACCCCACCCTATGTCAGTTTGTTTGACCTGCTTTGTGCTTGTAGTAAAGGCTATGAACTCTCAGCTGCCTGCTCCTGTCCATGGCTGCTGCTTGCTACCATGCCTCCTATAGTGACAGACTCTTCTGGAACCATAAGGCCAAATAAACTCTTTCTTAAGTCACTTTGATCATAGTGTTTTATCACAGGACAGAAAGGTAACTAAGACAAGCACCTAATTAAAAATATAAACGAATAAAATTAGGAAGAAAAGTTTAAAAAGAAAGTAATTTGGTTGAAATCATTTTTTTTTTCTATTTCACACTCAAGTTCCTTTTTAAGGGTTATTGCTATTTTCTTGACCCAGGACATCCCTGTTTTGAAGCAGTCCCACTGAAGAAAACCTCTTTTGTCTTGCTCTTTCTTTTTCCCTCTTTTCTCTTTATTTTTCTTAGTTGTACTATCTATCTATCTATCTATCTATCTATCTATCTATCTATCTATCTATTTATTTATTTCAGTCTTCTCCTTCCACCATGTGAGTCTTAGGAAACAAACTCAGATTGTCAAGCATGGCAGTGACTACTGTTACCTGTTGATCCACCTGGCCAGCCCCTGCCTGCGCCATTCTGAGGAGGTTTGCTGGACTGTGATCTCTAGATGTCTGAGATCTCAGTAAAGTGAGCAATACACTGAGTTTTTCTTTTTTAATCATCCCATGAAATGCTTTGAGATTTCTCCTTTCTTTTCCTATACCTTCCACTTGTGATTAAAATAAAATTACTGAAGAGATATAAACATGTTGAATTTCCTGATGATATCATAGCAAATGTACATGTGGGAAGAAACACGAGGAGAACTGTGGATTAGTGGGCTAGTTACCAAATTTTTATATTCATCAAGGGTCTGAGCCCCTCAGGTGCTTAGAAGCTAGACATGGGCTCCAACGATCCTCTTGTTACTCTGAGTATTTTTACTTTTATTTTTTTCTCCACCTCCCACTTCCCTTGGGAGCTTCCTTTGCATCCAAATTTGAAATTCTGATCCCCTTGCCTTTGGATTCTCTGCCAATCAAATTAGTCTGTTACTTCCTGATTCAGCCACATCCAACTTCTCAGGACAGAAGCAGAATGTAACCAGATTCTTGTCCCCACTTCCCAAGTGCTGGAATTACACACATATTCCACCGTGCCCAGGCAAAGTTTAGAGTTCTATTACAAGTTAATGTATGAATGAGCATGAATTTTTTTTCTGATTCTTGGTGGCATTGTGATTTTCTTCCTTCATTTAAACTTATAAAGTGTCAGCAATGGAATAAAAAACATTAATACATCCCTAGTGTTAGCCAAGTGCTGTCATGTGATAGTTAATGTCAACCCTCGACCTGACACACTAGATGGGCCTTGGGGAGTGTCTATGAAGGATTTTTCTTGATTATATTAATGAGTGTAGGAAAACACTGTGGGCAATATCATTTGCCTGGAAAGGGTATCAGGACCAAATAAAAACGGAGAAGGTGAGCCATGCGCTAGCAAGCACACATCCGTCTCTGATCTTAACTGTGGCCGGCTATCATGTTCCTGTCAATCGCCCTCAGAGTTGTGATGGACTATAACCTGGAACTTGTGAGCTAAAATAAACCCTTCATCCCTTTTGTTGATTTTTGCCAGGATATTTATATCAGCAGCAGGAAAAGGAACTGAGACACGCAATAAGTAATAGAACATCAGAGAGATATATAATCTCAGGCCTTCAGCACAACTTCTTATCCCAAGGCCCACATTTAGAAGCATTTCTAAG